GGGTTCATCTCCAAAGGCATTTGTTGGGCCTGTATCACCCCAAACCCAAACCAGGTATCAGCTGCTAGGTCTGAGGAGTCTTCTATACCCAGTGGTGTTGTCACTGCTATGGAAAGCACTGAATGTCTGAGCTACAATTCAGATCAACTTCAGCTCCTCTCTGCTGGGATAGCAGAGTCTGCAGCATCCTGGGGAAAAATAAAGACATAAAAAACAACCAAGACAGGTATTGATCACCCATCCACACACCTCTGCACTGACTTACAGCCAGCTCAAATCAAAAAGGCCAAAGTAACCCTGAGGGTGTCCAAGTGCTGACAGAGACAGAAGCGTAGGAGAGGAATGGGGACAGCGATAACTGCATGCCAGACTAGACTGGTTTGAGCTCTGGGGGGAAAGCCACACGCAGAAGGGTTTACACAACACAGCAAGATTAATAGGGGGATGGAAACATATTTATGAGACCTAGAGCTACAGCTGGGGAAAAAAAAAGAAGAAACAATTTTGCGAGACAAAGTCCTTCCTCAAGTCCCTTAGGATCTTGTGAATATGCCCAAAATCTTATCTGTCCCTTTTGTGACTCTATCAGTTCCAGCTCATAAAAAATACTGTCTCCCTGTAAATTTTGTCCCACTGACATCCTTAGGTCACCAGCACTACAACAGTACAGTGCCAGCAGTTGTCATGTCACACATTCTGAAGAGTTCCATCACTATTTCTGTCCATATCCTGATACCCAGGCTTCTGTGTGAAGACACACTGCTCACTGGGGTCAGCATTGGGAATGTCATCCCTCTCCACCAGCAGCCAGGCTCAGCCAAGGTGGGAGTCCAGCCACCCAGAAGAACCACTGAGCCCCTGCACCTGAGATGTTCACACATAACCTTTGGGCAACCAGGAACAGCTCCTCTAACTTAGCAATACTCTGTAGGTCTGCCAACAAGAAGGCTGCTCTCTGCAAAAAGCACTGTCCCAGAGCAAAGCTGATTCCCAGGGAATGCACTGCCCTATCCATGCCCCTCAGGACTCCTCAGATCCCCACAAACAAGCAACACTATCCAGGGACTGCTGTGGCCCAGACTCTCCTCACTGCCTAAATTAAGTGGTGACATTTGCTCATGCTTTCCTTCATTTTCAGTGGAAAATATTGATCTGTTGACAAGGAAACACACTGATCATTCCTGATCTTCTCTTTAAAGAACAAACTAGCATTGATATTATTTGTTTATTTATAGGAAAATAAAAAGGTTTTCTCCAAGCAATACTGTCTCACTCAATAATAGAATTTCCTGAAAAATAATTGCCATTTTCATTAAAGCCTATTTAATTTTCAACACTTTTCAACAACCTGAACAATTCCATTAGAAACCCTGATATAAGATTTGCTTGAAAAATACCTTTCCCAGAACTCCCTCTGTAATCTGTTTTTTAACATATAAATTCTCCAAAGTATAAGTACTCTAGACTCATACCAAAAGACTATCCCTGATCCCCGTGTCTAATAATGTAGGCTCTGCAGATGAGAATACTATAGCAGTTTAGGTAATTGTCAGGAAATTACATCTTTCAGGCACCTGCAGGTTGTGTTTGCACCCGTTTGGGAAGTGATACTGTTCCAGTAACAAGTATTCACTGGAGCACCGCTATGTAATTGAACACCACAGACACAGATATAAATGGCAAAGTTGATCATCAAATTAGCTCCCTTTTGCTATAGTACATAAGTCCAGGCATACTCCAAGGTTTTCTCACAAATCTAATGACCTCTTTTGCAAGTTGTATGAATTTTAAGTATTAATCATGAAAGAAGATTATGATATTGGCTTCTGGTTACACCAGAGCAATACTGTGAACTGAATGAACTTACACATGCAAGAGAGGGTAAGATTTTCTCCTAATATATCAATTTATGCAAAACTATCCAATCCAATCATAGTGACATGCTAGGCACCCTTAAATAACTACTGATCAATCAAACAGAAAATCAGTCAATAAATTCAGAGTGATCACCTACTGTTTTATACATAATAATTCTTCCTACTCTCTCTTAGTAGCTATTTCTTTCTTTCCTCCACATTACCTTTTACATCTTTCCTCGTGGGCTATCTTATTTATCTCTTTTGCCTGGTAACCAGTGCCAGTCTCTTCAAACTCTCTTCAACAGATAAAATTTTCAAGCATAAGATCAGTCTCATTTTCTTTCTTTCTACTGTAATTCTGAAAGATCCTTTCAGAAGTGCTGCACAACAGGAATCATTGTTTTACAATGGCATTATAATATCTTCTGTGCTCTTCCTTCCCCTATCCATTACAGATCACAGGATCACGTTTGCTGTGAGTGCAGTCACACAAGTTAATGCTCCCCACAAATCTTACAGTACAGGCCTGTTCATCAACTTGGTTAGAATAGATATTCACTAGTAAATAACTGTATGCAGATAATCTAAGACATTGACATCCATAGCTGGAATTCATCTTCCCTAATTTTAGCTGTCAAAAATTTCAGGATTTTCACTAAGCTTTACTTAGGTTCCTTCAAATATTAATGAGAAAGGCATACTCAAAGACAGACCTATCTCATGTTGAAACAGGTGAAATAAGAGATAAATGGCCCCTGAAGGTTTTGATCTCTCTAACTTTAGAGGAGCACTGACTACAGATATAGACTAAGAATCTACTGATTTAATGACAAAAGTTTAAAGGAACAAGTTCCTCTCTCCACTCCAATACATTAATTCTGATTTGTTCCAAAACAGACATATCAGAACTCATGCACCAATCCTTTATGCAGCTATTAAACCTCACCAGGTTCTTAACATTTAATTTGATATTTATTTATTCATCTCTGTCTAATATTTCAAATTCTAAAGACCTGGCTCCTACACTTCTGTCCAAGATTATCCAGACTGAAAAATATGCGTGAGACATTGCAAGCAGTCAATCTGACACATCCCATAACAGGCAGCAACACCACACAGTCTGTGAGACTAATACCTCCAGGACATATCAGCACTCCTACATGTGTACCAAGCAAACACTGCACAGTCCATTGGCCATGTCCTGGACACGGTGGATTTAACACACTCTCAGCTCAGAGTGTGCTGGCAATCTGAAGTGCCCACGTGTCACTCAAGCTCTGCACGGACTCAATCCCTGCCCAGCGACTGCAGCCACTTACAGCAGGCTGCTGGACAGGCAGAAACCCTGTCAGTGTGATACAAGCACAGGGAATGGAGAGACTCCTGCCCAAAGCAGCAGCAATGTTCTGTGTGTATATTTAACAGCTTTTTAAAGTGTGGGGATGTGATTTTCAATTCAAACACCCATTAAGCTATAATAAAACCTTGCTAAGAATAGTCAAGGCACTTGAGTATTATACATACATGCACTTGAGTATTACACATACATGCATGTGTTTGTACACACACACACACACACATCTTTTAACTTGAACATTTTAGCAGTTTATAGCATGAGATGCTCCCTGCTGATGAGGAACCCACACACCAGGCCCATGCCCTCACTGTGAGATCAAGATTCTAAACAGAGAGGCCTTGTTTTAACACAGGTGAGAGCTGTGGAGTGAGAAATGTCTGTAAGGCCTCATGCTTAAAGAACTGGATGTTCCACAACACCCTTAGCCACAGATATAAACCACCACATTAAGAGAGTTCCACAACACCCTTAGCCACAGATATAAACCACCACATTAAGAGAGTCTCTCTAAAATACTCCTTGGAGAGCAGAGTATTTATTGATTGGAAAGCCATTGCTTTTAGTCAAATCATGATTTACTAAGTTTCAAAAACTGAATTCAGTGTTTTCTAGCAACAGATCTCCTCTGAGGCCAGAGGAAGCAGTAGCAGACTGGGTTTCATGGGGGATTGAGGGGAGCTGTGGCTCCCATTGCAGTAGGTCATCTCCAGAGCAGCAGACCCCTACTTTCAGAAGTCTGCCAGTGTTACTCAAATGCATGCAGTTTTCATACTGCAGTCCTCCCAGGCCATAGGAATCCAGTCCTCCACTTAATCCCAGCATAGATTTATCAGTCTTCCCTTTTATAAGAATGTCTGACCATAAATACAGCAAAACTTTCTCATAATTTGGATAGTCAAGAAAAATGCTCACTTAAGGAAATAAAATAGAAGCTTAATGTAACACAGCCTTATTCAAAAAGAGAAGCATGTGTCTTTTTTATACCACCTGAATCCAATCTTCATCTCATTTTGTTCCCCTTGCTTCAGCATTGGAGACAAGCAGTTAACATCACCATGTCTGTAATCTCTGTGTCTCCTGAGCTTCCTGTCCCAGGAATCTGGGATTACGTTAATCTGGAATCACCACAGCCTGGCTCTCAGTTGAAAACTGAGAGTTTGTAAATGGCACATCTTCAGGAAGTGTTCTTCCAGACTGTACTATTCATTCTCAGGCTTCCACAGACTCGAAATTTAGAGAGATGGCCCTGTTCCATGCAGCCCATGTATTCTCAAAAAATCTCAAAAACACGTAGTTTCTCATTCCATTTCTGACACTTTCTCCTCTTTTCTGAAATCACCACCAAATGACACATTTACAGCCATCTTTCACTTTGAAGTTGCCCTGTAACATCTTTTTTCAATTTTTCTGCTATTTTACCTCCTACTACAAATTTTGGTTCACTCAATTAGCTTTACTTGACTGTCAAATCAGCATAAAACTTTCCAGTTGTTAAAATAATCATTCACACCTTTCCTTTGTTCTTCTCTGTTCTCCCCAGTTTATTTGTAGTTCCTTTGTATTTTACAATTAGCCACACAAATAGCAAGTTGTGAAATCCACAGACCCTTAATGAACTAACTTTAAAAATATATAAGATTCAAGACAAGTGATGAGCAGGGAGTTCAAGTGCTCTATCCCAGTCTGCAGAGCCAACGGGATGGACTCCCAGCTCTTAAGAACTGCAGCCCCATGTGCTTATCCTAAGAAAGAATTCCCATCCCATTCGTATGAAGCCAACGTACCTGGATGAAGATGTATTCATCCTGAACAACAAGGGAGCTGACATCGATGGAGCGAGAAAAGGGCCCGCTCCTTTTGGTCTCGGAGCACTCCTGGATCCGACAGGTCAAATAGTGGGTGTCTGCAACAGGAGAATATGGACACGTCAGAAATGCCCAGGTAGGAGCTACTTGTCTGTAAACACCACCAGCAGCTCAAAAGAAGGTTTTATCTCCAGCTAGACAAATTTTGTTTCATGATCTGCCTCCAGCCTTTGACACTGTGACTGCTCTCTGAGGTTAGGAATTCACCACACTTTGACATTTGCCATTCCCTCCTCTGTTGTGCAGACATCCCTCAGGAGACTCAAGTTCAAATCATAAATGGAGGGTACAAACCATAAAGCATCAGAAAGCTGTTGAAGAGACCATATAGAGCAGAAGCCACCCAGGTATAATCCACCAATTCCTATACCCTTCTGGAAATCATACCCTGTCTTCCCTATGAAACACCCTAGCCTTGTTGGGTGGTTTTAGTTGTGGTAGCAAAACACAAAAAGAAAAAAAAAACAAACAAAAGCCCAAATCAACGCCATTAACTTATTTTTTGTGAAAATCACAAGCATCTCCCAAAATCAAGTCTTTATAGCAAATGCAGGCTAGGAATGAAAATGCCACAGCCAGGAAATAGCGTGAGTAGCTGAAGATTCCTAACAGTAGCTATATCCACTGCAAGAAGCATCAAATGCTTCTGTCTAGAGACAAGATGTGAAGACACATCTAATCACACTGAAGGGATTTTGTCAGGCCTTGGAATTGCTTGAGAGGAGGAAGAGGACTGGGAGAAGAACATGGAGTCAACAGAAGGAAAAGGCAGATATACAGAAAGTTAGAACAAGAAGAGATGTGCTCACCTCCAGCAAGTTGAGAGGGGTTATAGGGGATTAAGCTTTATTTCACTTAGGCTAAGAAAAGGCCTCATGAAACAGAACAATGAAGGCACTGTGTTTCTGGATGTGTGTAATCTAAATATGCCATCTCTGTTCTTCAACTGCTCTTCTGAAAACTGCAAATTAGGGAGAAAATGAAAATACTACTAAGATGACAGCTGGAGTGATAAAAGGGTCATATCTTTTGCACTGTGGCACTTTTACAGGCTTCCTAGATTCAAATGCTTCTTTGCTGTTCTACAAAGGGTGAGGACAGACCAATGAAGTAAATAGCAAGTTTATAAGGGCTGGGGTGAGCCTGGTGCAGTGATTTTAGTTCACAACAGAACACTCTGACATGGACCTTGTCAAACTGAGCCCAAAATGATAAAAGAGAAGTTTAAAAAGACAGTCACTAGCCCAGCAAAGCTGCTTACAGGATTCTCCATCACAAAAAAAAACTGCCTTGTCCTTGATCTGTGTCCTTCCAGTGACAGCAAAATGTGGGGCAAGGGAAAGCTAGAGGGGGGAACAATTGAAATCCCCTGAGATTCAGCCAACTGCCTTCCCACATTCTAAAACAAGATTCACAGACTGATAGTTTCCTCTTTTATAGCCTTGTCCCAGCAACATCCTTTAAACTGTAAAAAGAATGCAAGTCAGAGGCATTAATAATTAGACTAATAATTTGTAAAATATTTTGTCTAAAAAAGTCACAAACTACAGCCAAGCTTTAATCTAATAAAGGTCTGTGCCCAACCACCCAGTGACTGAAGGCCCCTGTTTAAAGGCTGCAGACCTGTTTCTGGGTTGATGCACCAGGGATTCCAGGTTAATAAGGGCTGAGTCAGAGCAGCCACACAGGTCTGGTGCAGTAATGAAATCGTAATCCTACTGAGGATGCTAAAGAAGCAGAAAATGTTGCTGGTGCCAACCCAGCGTACTGGGCAGTGATTAAAGTGTATGGTGAAAAGCACCTGACCTAGAGACAGTGCCAATAACCAGAGTATCAGAGCCGTGCTTTCTCCCAGCATAAAATTCCAGCAGCTGCAGCAGAGAGGTGAGACTTTCAGCTGGCACAAATTAAAGTTCTTCATCAACTGATGTACACACACTTGGCCCAGGGCTGCTATTTAGCTCCTCAATGTGGAACCTAAGACAACCTTGCAATGGATAAAAGCAACTGCTCAGAAAACAAGTGGGTCTTATGTGCTGCCATGCTATCCAAAGAGATCAACAGCAGTGACTTCTCTTTGAGGTAGCTCTAAAATTAGGCAGAACAAGGAGGAGAGGTCAGGAGTTGTATTTTTAGAAGCTCATTCCCTCCAGTACGTTCTCCCACACAGTAGCCTGGATATTCTTATCCTTCCGAAAAGGGGATAATTTGCTGCTGTTGAGTGACAGAATGGGAAGAGGAATAAAAACCTGTCACAAATAAATGCAGATAAATCACAAGTGTTGACATGACAACGAGCTTCCTGCCTATTGGGAAATGTGTCATTTTGAGTGTGTTACACCAGCAATCAAATATACTCAAAGAATGGCACAAGATTAATATTCACAAGGAGATGGTAGTGGAGAAGGGCGGTAGCTTACTACCCATTTTCCATTTAGTCTCTTGTTTTATTTACTTTCACATATTTTACAATACAGTCCTATAAAAAAAACCAAACAAAAAACAGACACAAGTAAAATATCTTTAAACCTGTTTGCTTTAGGATACCAGATAAAGTTAAATCTTGCTTTGTTCCTGCTTCCCCTAAGAAAATAAAAAATATTTCCCTTTAAAATACATTTAAAAATCAGGTAAAAAATATAGCAGCATCCAGTTTAGTTCCCATTTGTGTGTAGCTCAAAGCAAGAAACAATCTCAAGTCCCTGCTCAAGCTTCTTAAAGGGTGCCATTCACAGAGCACATCTTCTCACCTACAAAGTACAGGATCTCTCGACAAAAGTCTATTTAGAGAGAAGAGGCCAGCCTAACTCCCAAGCTATTATCTCCCTCTCCTCCAGAATGAGGTAATTTTGCACCCCACTTTTGGACAGCCACAAGGTAAAAGGGGATTCACCCAGAGGGGCAGGTGACATGAGACTGAGCCATGCCTCCAAAGCCTTGCTTACCTTTCACTGGGAGGTGTACTGCCTAAGGGAGGTTGTTTCTATCTGGGAATTACTACTGATTTATATATTGTCCTATCCAGCAGCAGAATTAAAGCATTTGGGTGCTTTGGTTTTCAGGGTTCTTTTAGTGGGTTGCATTTTTGTTACTTTTGGGAGTTTTATAATGTTCCACTGCAAAAGGAGTTGAGAAGAGCTCCCTACTTCCCAGGCAGCATTAAAAACTCCTCATGCTTATAAGCAACTCCAGCCACTTTCTCATCTCATCTGTGAATCTTGCAATATGGACATCAAGCAGCCTGGAGGGCTTGCTGCCGCTCAAATCCCAGCATCCATGCCTCCGCACAAACCCTTCCCACCTCACTCAGGATTAGGGAATGGCTTTCACAGATGTACAGCCACTTTCCAGTTGAGGAGCTGGAGCCGCCTCCTCATTGCTATTTAACACAGTCTTCCATCTTGAGATCCTGGAGTGTATTTTTACCCTTTTTGAAGTGACAAAACGGAAACAATTTCTTGAAATTGGAAAGGACAAACTGGTGAAATAAGCCAAGCTACCAAGTCTCATCTTTTCCTGCCAGCCATGCCAGCTTTGGCAGGAAGCAGGAGCACAAGAGGCTCTCTCCCCAATGATGTGGGTCCCTGAAGGGAGGCAGTGAAACACTCAAAGCTGTTGTGTCACTGTGCTGAAGGCTGCAAAGGGCCAACCTGTGTGCAGGTGACACAGGACAGCAAGTCCTGCTCATTCCTGGCAGCATTTTAATAGGGCAGCTGAAAGCAAGGATGGCTGGCCAGCATGGCTAACAGGGAAAAGAGCAGCTAACAGGGACAGGTTGCATTGGCATATTGGCTCACCTTAAATCAGGTCCTGGTGTCAGCAAGATTTAAAATCCTAACATCGTGAAGGTTTCCATGGGAAGGAGAAAAAACTCACTGGCCTCAATCATATTTTTCCCCCAAAGAAAAAAGATGTGTAGGCTCTGCAGGAATTAGTTACTCTGTTTTATCTTTCTGGCTAGCTTTTCTCTCTCTCTTCTTCCTATAATTCAAATCCTGTTTATTGCACTGTATCTGTGAGTGGGGTGAAGATTAGCTCATTGAACATCAGAAAGTTCAATATATTCTTCCCAGGAATGCTGGTGGATGCTTGTGTCAGTGTGATCATAATAGTTCCCCTGCATCTAGCCCTGTTCTTGCTGCTGCCTACTACATCCTGGCATAAGGCACAATGCCCAAGGCTCCTATATGTTTTTACAATTTAAAAATGCAAGCCTCGATTATTATTCTGCTACAATGACTCTGCCAAGATGTCGAAAAAATGTGAAAAACTTCATCTGCTACAAAAGATGGGAACAGCTTGAGATAAGATAGGCACTGGAATTATCAGCATCTTGCAGTATTTAAGGAGACTAGACACAGGGGCAGATGGATTTTTCAGAGACACAACCATTTTTAATGTCTGGACAGACAAAACCATGTGGCATGATGTCTTGAAGGACAGACACCAGAGAGGTGAACAGGACCTGCCAGCTCCCAGATCCATAAGCTTATTGATACCCCTGACTCATTTATGGATGAATGAGACTCCAGAATGCCCCACCACCTGTTCACAGCTCCAGAGCACCTTTTAGGCTCCAGTGTCTGAACTGGTATTAGATAGGTTCTTGAGTCCCATTACTGCTAAAAGAAAAAAACACTGCTCTTTTGTGCTGGGCTGGGAGTCATTTGGTAGATGCCAGCAGGGCCAGCATGGCCCTACAGATGTGGGATGGAGACTGCAGTGGGACTTTGCTGACACTTCTGGCCAAGCCTGACTTCCAGTGAAACCCTCAACACATCAGCTGCCAATTTCAAAATGCTGAATTTATACATTAAAACAAGAACAAAGAGCAAACCCCTGAGCAAACAAGACCTGAAGGAAGAAAGTTGTCTTTAAACTGAGGATACATCTTTCAAACATTTACATCCTTGACATATCCAATATTCAAATAGCTGGGTGAGCAAGTTTAAACTTAGTTTGAAAACAGACTCCATCAGCAGTTTGTTTGCTTGCTTGCTTGGGTTTTTTTATTTGCTTTTGACCACTTCTCCCATCATACCTGCAACAGTACACAGAGCAGCAAAGGCACTGAAGACGCCTCCCTACCTTGTCCACCTACCTGTTGGCCTATTTTGCTTTTTCCATATATTCAACAAACAGCTGTCACCCCTGAGCTTTTATTGCCTGGTTATTTATTCAGCTGCCATCACTAAATAGCAGTGGGAGGCCAATGAGTGATACTAGAATATCCACAACCTCAGAGAAGCCATCCTGATAGACAGGAGCTTCTTCACACATCTGGCCTACGCAGCACTTGACTCAAACAGAGAAAAGTTTGCAATCAACAAAAATGAGGCTTTTCTCCCAGAAGTTCACTAGCTCCTCAATCCTATGCTGTTTTTCTATACTGTCCCAGCACCAAAACAGGACACTTGTCCCATTGCTCCTGTTTCCTCACACTGGAGTAAAGTTCCACACAAGGAGAAGATGCATTACTATGCTGCAGTTCCTGTGAGAAATATCTAAAACACTTTGGAGAGAGTAAGTCAACTTCTAATACCATTATCTTTGCTGGGGATTGACTACATAGGAATTCATTACACTGCAAATGAGACTAGATTCATTTCAGTGAGGGGTTAAGAATTATTTTTTTTTCCTATTTCCTGCTTCAGATCCAGGCATCTTTTCAAGGCCTGTAATGTTTTGCTATGGAACACCTATTCATATATTATGAGCAAAACTAAAAAATACTTTCACTACAAGACAAAGGGGCATAGGGACATTCTGGCTAGAGGGTGATTCTGACTGAAGGCAGTTTCTCAGATTCTCAGGTACCACCTAGCTGTTTTGAGCACCTCTGGAAATGCACAGAGGTTCCATGGTACAGTGCTGGAAGCCCAGTTCTTTATGATTGATGTAAACCATGATGTAAACTAAAGCAGCTAAATAGGGAACAGAATAGATGGCTTCTTAGCCCAACAGACTGTGCTTGTGTCCACCCTCTCCACATGCACAAGGCCTGTGGCCCAGGACTTTCCCCTACAGGTTTAGGATAAGAACATCACATCAAACCCCAGGACCCACATCTCCCCTACCAATTAAAATGTAAATGGGGAGGTAAAATGGGTAAAGTGAATTCTCATTCCCACTCCATTCTTGGCTCAAAGCCCAACTTTTAGCATTGGCTGCAGGCACTCACGTCCATCAGCTGTCCGTGCTTCCATGTGCACAAGGTCAGGTTCTTTATCCAAACCAGTCACTGACCTGGGAGAGGAGAGAGAGAGACAGAGAAAGAAGACAGTCAGTCAGCTGAAAGGCTGCAGTCAGACAGAGATGGTAAAGGAAAGCAAAACCAGTTTATACCTACCTTGGGACACCTGGTATATAGGTCTCCACCTTTTAACAACTTGTATCCTTTGTATTTCCACACAGACCACGCTCAGGGGCCCTACACCAATCTTCCCAGGCATGGGAGAGAGATCCTGCCTGTCCCTTGTCTGTAATATCAGGACTACTATGACTTTTCTTGCAGTGGCAAAGAAAGCTGGTCCCAAGACCCAGTAAAATCAGAGTTCTGTTTTAATGCTGAAGGATAAACAAGGGCACAGCAGCCTCATGCCTTCAGAAAGCAAATGAAAAGGAGGTTTTATTTGGCTGATTCGAGACATGAAAGACTAAGTTTCCTGATTTGCCCCCGGTTTGCTGGGAAATCTTGTTATTCTTTACCTCCTTCTCCCCATCTTCAAAAGAAAAACAGTGCTGCACATACGGTGAATTTCTGATTTTAAAAAGGTGAGAAAGTATTCATTACTCACACCATGACCCCATGCCATCCATGGTCCTTGACAATTACGAAAAGATGCACAAGGAGTTTCTTTAATCTCACTAGCTGGAACTTAAGCACCCTAAGTCAAATCTTCCCATGGATTGTTATTTACTCCCTAAAAACATTTTTCAAAGCACATTAAAAAGATACTTTTCCTCCTAGAAGAGGGAAAGTCAAGCCCAGAACAGAAATGTTATTATTAGTGTCCTGGCTGATAAGAATCACTAAGAGATGAACATTCAGTCCTAGCAATGGCTGGCAGGGGAAAAAAAATCCATAGATGTCCACGTGATTTATGGTGCTGCTTCTCCTGAGTTAACCAAAGAGTTAGATTAAAAAGGGACAATGACAAAAATCAGTTTCTAATTTGGTGGGAGTTGAATTTGATACAGTAGATTGTAAATAATAGATTCCCTCTGAGCCAGCCAACATTCAGAATTCCCTAATGTTCTGAAAACATTTTTATCACATTCTTTTGCCGTTTTCATCCTTGGGGCATCAACCGCAGAAATATTAAAAATAATAATAATAATAAAAAATACAGATGCTCTGATACATTTTTGTGAATCCCACAAAAAACACAGCAGGTGAAGCAATGACAAACATAAAAATGTGCTGGAGTTCAGCTAAGATCAGCCAGTGCTGCAAATGTCAAAACAACTACATTATGACCCACTGTGTAGGTAAGTGAAACTGGCACTGCTTGTTAACGAGAGCACCACATCGATAGCGAGTCCATTCACAACACTCTGAATTGTGGCCAAAAGATACCAACACAACAAAATAAAGCAGCACAGGCAGAGCTTTCATCATTCCACTCACAGTGAGAAACAGTCTGCTCCTTAATCGCTACCATCAGTTTCAGGGTGATCCCACAAGGAAGAAAGTGCTGTCTGTTATTGGTAAGGATGCCAGAATGAGCCTGAGTTAGTGTGATCACGCAGTTATTGGGATCAAATCTTCCCAATATATGGACAAAGTTAAAAGTGACAGTAGGATTCACAGAAATTCCTTTAAGTATCAGTGAAAAACATTACAGTGTGCTGCAGTATTAGTCCCCAATGTATATAGAAAGCAATCTTTCCAGTCCATAGCAGAAGTTTTCTGCCTTTTTCAAATGAGTAGCACTAACTGCTGTAATTTCAGTCATTCAGTAACCATCACCCTTGTCTATGACATGCCAGTAGAGACAGATGTACATGCTTACCATCATGTCTATTTATCACAGCTTAATGAAATGGAGTGGTAATTCCAGCTCTTTGAGGTAAAGGTTGGGAACACTCCAGGGACTTGCCCTGCGGCCCTTCCCAAGAGGTTTCCTACTTAAATTAAGTCTTAAATGCACTCTCCTGGTATCCATCCTTCTGGAAGCCAGACACCAGCCTCCTACTCAGAGTCATTTGCTGTGTCCTGACACCACAATGTCAGATGGCTTCACCTGGGCCCCTGACATCCTCTGGATCCCTCCCCTCCAGATGGAGAGGGCACTGTATCTCCCTCTGCAGCAATGGGAAACACTGTTTCTGGCCCAGGTAATAAGAGACATCAGTCTGCCACAGTACTATTCATTTTTAAAGGGACTGTAATTAGAAGAACCTAAGTATTTCCTAACAAAATCCAGAATACTCATTACCATTGTGCATTTGCATACACAAGCTCTGTGGATCTACTCATAATGCCTTTCAAGTGTGCACCAGGGAATGAGAGGGATCTCCTGAAACATGTCATTCTGGCTTGAAATTCCTTTCCAGTGACATCTACTTGTTCCCTTAATTAGTTTTGACAAGCCAAATGGTTCTTTTCAGAATAACAATGATGACAAAAAAGGACTAGCACACAGCACATCCCTAGTACTCCTCTGTTCACCAAATAGTGCACTGCAAGTTGAAAAGCTCACAAAGTGTTCTGCAACCCAAAAGCAAGACAGGCTGCTCTAACTGCAGGGAGATAAACCTGAAAAGTGATGCACTGGTCATCCTTCTTTCACTCAAACCAAGTTGCTCCCTTATACCAATGACTGATTGCGAAACAGATCCCCAGTCAATGCTGTTTCTTCACGCCTCACCTCACATCTGTTCCCACTGGCAAGGAACAGAGTTTTGCTTTGCATTGCTCTGACTCTTGAATTCAGGTATTTTTAGTAAATGGTCTCTCATCATTTGTCTGGAGGAGCTTTACATGAGGAATGCAAAAAAGTCAGCAGTGGAAAGAGCAAGATGTAAATGCAGACCTGAAGCACAGCTGCAAAAACACACACAGACTTTAAAGCTATTTCTTTATCCCTTTATCCTGATGTAATTCTCTAGCCTTGAGAACTCACTACAACAACCTCTCAGGTCTGGCAATACAGGAGCAGCAACAAAACAAGAAGAGACACTTTCACAGCCTTGTATTTTCTTACACGTTATCTTTCTGAACAACATTTGGAGGATGAACTGTTCAATATTCTTTAAGCAACTGCAGCATGCCAGCATCCCCTGACTTATACAACCAAGTGTAACCCACAGAGTGGGGTGGCTGGGAAAGGCTTTCATGGTGCTTTAGCTAGCAACCCTGTCCAGAGGCTTACAAAGACATGAGTATTTAACACTAAGGTGAGCCTGAGGTCCTGACCCGTGCTCACGCGGCTCTGTGCATATCAACTCCAGACAGCAAAATTTAAACTAAGGTTCACAAAATGCACCCATGTGTTGCTGTCTTGGATGGCTGCAGGGAGTAAAAAAAGACACCCTCACTGCAAGGAACTGAGCTAAATCAACACCCTCCACCATCCCTATTCATTAATCACCCCTTGCATGAGAAAATGCTGAGAGGATGCAGGCAGTAGTGACAGGAAAGGTCAGTTTTTTTCTGCTGACATGTTCCCCAACTGCTGCAAAAGCAGTTTTCAAAATGTGGAGCCTGCAGCCAGAATTGCAGCAGGCACAGGATAATTTTCCAATTAAGAACTGAATTCCATTAAAAGGAAGAATCATTACCTTTTTTTTTTTTATCTTCTGCTGCTACTTTTCCTTTATGTTTTCATGGTAGCTCTTGATTTTCACAAGATCTTTCCTCCCTTCTCTTCAGAAGAGAATTGTGAGCTCTTGAAAGTTGAAGGATGGACATGATCCTGGAAAGATCCTTGTCTCTATCCTGAGGGAAGAGCACTGTGCATGGATGCACATTTACTAGGCCACTCTGCTAATATTTCATCTCTGACTGGGAGGGAGAGCAAGCGAGAAGGGCAAGGAAAACACAGTATTCTGCACTTTAACTATTACTGAAATATTTCCCTGTAAGGTGCTGTACACTTCAAAATAAAAAACGCCAACACATGCAAAGAAAGGAAAAATAAAACCAGAAACTCTTCAGGTTACCTGCCTACTGCACACCCCAGTTCACTTTCTCTACCAACTCTAATGCCTTTCCACGGAATAAATTTTTGCATTTTTTTCTACCCATTCTGCAGACACCAGGTATTTAAAGGTGAAAAGGAGCATTGATACATGGCTCCTCTAGCCTCTTAAATGAAAACAGCTGAGCAATTCCAACTGCCTCTGCTGATTCTTGCTCCCTAAACCATCAATTGAGAGTAAGAGATGTTCTATCCCTCTATCTCCTTGACCCAAGAGTTTGGGAGGTCTGAGTCAGTATCACTGAATGTGACCAACATTTGTATTTGGGATTTACAACAAGGTAAAAGCAAAAGTTCAGATTGCAGGAGCCAGCCTTTTGAACTTGATCTGCAACCTGCTGGGCTAAGCTTTTTTCCAGGGGTGTGTCTAGTTTCTGACCCGTCAAAGTGGCATTCACCAGCTTTGAAAACAAAATCAAAACTTTTACAACAAATTGAAACTGCCAAGATGCTGACTTGAAAATCCATTTTTGCAGGTAATGTCAGACTGAAGGCAATTGCCAGTGTCCATGTGAAGAGACAGAGGAAACAGATGGATACTAACTAGCAGGATATTGTGCAGTAAATAAGGGCTAGGAACAGCAAGGAACAAGGCACATTTATTGTGCAATAATATGTAAAGGGGGAAAAAACTCATCCTCTTGCTGCAGGCAACTGCAGTTACATTAGTGGATGTTGCCAATTAGTCTGCTGTAATTTCAATTCTATCCTGCTCCAGAAGGGAATAAACACTTCTGTGTGGTACCAGGCAAGGAGTGCATGTTTCTAATTCCTTCAAGTAACACAAGGGCCATGCCCATGTGGATACATGGAAGGAGGAGCTAATTCATTAAATTCCCACTCAACTGACCTGGTGTTTTCCACATGGCACCCTTGCCAAATGGCACATACCTTCCCAACAGGCTTCTCCTTCATCTGATATTCCATCACATTTGTCTAGGCATCAATAACTGCAGTTGGCTTCAGGTGGTCAAGATTCATGTATTAATGGGTCTAAAATCAGCTCCATCAGACATTAACTGTCTGGCACATTAATAATAC